CCCTGGCTCCACACCCCTGCTCCCCTGGCCCTGACTCCCCTTTCTGGGTCTCAGTTTCCCCGTCAGAACACGGAAGGGGCTGGATGCAGCCAGGCCTGAAGTCCGTTCTTCCATCAGCGGCCTGGGGTCTGGGCCGTGGGAGTACCTCCTGGTGGGGGGGGGGGATAAAGCCCAGAAGGCCCCGTGTGCCAGTGAGTCCCCTTGGTGGGACACCCAGGCCCTTGTGGGCGCATAGGCCCTCAGGTGGGAAAACAAGGGGATCCAAACGAGGTGAAGGGGTGCCCGGAGTACCGCCACTGTGGGCTGGAGGGTGGGAGGGGCACTGGGACAAAGAGGCCCTCGGGCGCCTTGCCACTTAGGCCAGTGACGCCTAAGTCCCAGGAGCCCGGGCCATCACAACAGTCCCAGCGGCTGGCACCCCTCTCATCCCGAGAGGGGAAGGCCCTGGACCCAGCTACGGGCCCGCACACACACTTATCCTTTCCAGCCACGCAGTGGCCAGGGGAGCAGATCCCTGCCAACTGTCGAGACCCCCTTCCACCCTCAGCATTCCAGCGGGGGGGTTTCCCAGACCACTCCCGCCCCCTCCAGGTCAGGACGTCAGCTGGGTGGGGGCAGAGGGAGGGGAGGGCCGGCTGAGGGGCTCAGGGCCAGGCCGTGGGCAGGTGGGGCCGACCCTGGAACGGGACCCATGCCCAAGGACGGCCACACTTTGGCCTGGCCCTCTGATGACCGTGTAGTCTGGGCAGGTCCGCAGCAGCGGCCCCTGGCCACTGGTCACCCACGCTCACAGTCACGGACTCTCGGCCTTCGAGCCCCCACACAGCACCTCCTAACTGAGGGGCCTGAGGGCCAAACCTCAGTGTCTCTAAGGAAACACTCTCTTTGGCCACCTACAGACTCCTGTACTCCTGCACCCCCACCCCTGCACCCCTCAGCCTGCTGGAGGCCAGGGGGAGAGCCGTGCCCGGGAGAGCGCCCCTGGGAAGGGCCACAGGGGCTCCCACCTGCACGCCCTCCTCTGGGCGCAGGGCCGCTGCCCCACGGGCAGTCTTCTCCAGGGGAGGCAGCGCCGGTCCCAGGCAAGGCCCTGAGCGGATGCCCGCCCCTCCCTGCCCCCTGCCCGGCCACTCGGGGCTCCAGGAGCCTTGGAGCAGGCTGCTGTCAGCCTGGCCCCGGTGCCCAGCCCCAGACCTCTTCTGGCTGGGCTCCCGCCCCTGGCACACACTTCGGGTGCTGCTGCGCACCCTGGGGGGAGGGGGTGACAGAACCAGTGGTCCTGTCTGTGGAGTCCCACCAGCCTGGTGGGCCCGTAGCCCTGGGAAGGCCCTGGCGCCAGCATGTCCTCTCACACCCAGGGCCAGCCAGGTCCCGGTCACCAGCAGAGCCGTGGCTCTCCGGGGCCTGGTCTCTGGCAGGTCCCCCACCCCCCTGCAGCCCCAGCAGGCCCCTCCCCCGACGGCCCCCCACCGGCCCTCGGCCTCCTGTTTGTGCTCTGACAGACCCCGTTATCAGCGGGGAACACACACAGGAAGTCCGGCCGGGAAGGGCCCATCCCAGTCCCGATTTACACGGGACGGAGCATAAAAAGCCGCCCTTCCTCGCCCGGGAGGAGCCTCCCTGCCCCGAGCCGCTGTCCAGCATGCACGGCCGAGATGGAGGCTGCAGGGGACCGGCCCTCGGGAGGCCTCAGGAGGAGCCTTGGGGCGGCTGGCCAGGAGTAGTGTCCGTCCCAGCCAAGGAGGCAGAGGCGGTGGCCATGGCCCTCCCGGGGGGCAGCACCAGGTATGGTGGGAGCGCCTTGGATGGGCAGGGAGCAGGCAGAGCTGGTGAGGGGCCCTCGGCTTCCACGGACCACGGACCCTGTTGTCTGGGCTCTCCGGTGCCATCTCATTGTCCTCCTATTGGCACCGGCCCCACTGCACGGAGGACGCCCAGGCCCCCTGGCTCAGGTGCCCAGTGGTGGGTGGCCCAGCCTGGACTGCACTTTGGCCTGACCGGGTCCTACACTTACCCCAGGTGGCCCGGCAGCCACTGGGGCCCCTGGAAGGAGCAGGCACATGGAGCTGGCCCCCTTCCGCCGGCCCCCCTCCCTCCGGCTGCAGAGTCCAGCCCCGCTGGTCCCTCCTCAGACCAGACACGGGGGTTCCCCTAGGGTGTGCGAGCACTCCCTGGGGGGACGGGGACCCCAAAACCATATCTGCAGCCAGGATGAGCTGTGAACTTTGAGGGCACTGAAGGTGGGACTAGGAGGACCCCCCCGCACCCCACTCCAGTGGCCTGGAAGCGGGGGTCCTCAGGCAGAGGTGGTGGAGTGTGGCACGGGCACTTTGTCGGCCTACCTTGGACCTGGGGAGAGGCCCAGTTCTCCCTCTCTCCGCCCCACCCAGGGGTGCCCAAGTCCCCCCAAACCCCCAAGCAGGAGTGGGCACCTCCGCTGCCCTGGCCACCCACGGTCCCGAGGACGGCCCAGGTCTCAGAGGAGAAAGCAGGTGGTGGACGGAGTGAGGACCAGCTGCCCAGCTGCCCAGCTGCCCAGGCTGCCCTTTCTGCTCACGCAGGAGGTTAAAGGGTCAAGTGACCGGCAGCTTCAGGGACAGGCTGGGGGCAGGAGACAGGACTGGGAAAGTCTCTCTCAGAGTTCCTCTCCGTCCAGCAATTAACCCTTTACTGCCATGGCTGGACCAGGGCTGCCCTGCTTGGGTTTGGGGGCCAGGAGACCTGTAGCCTGGTGCAGCCCCCCGCCCTGGCCAGGGCAGTGGCCGCTGAAGGGCAGGAAGGACAAGCCTCTTTCTGGAGGCTCCCATCCAGCTCCATGGGTCCCCTCTGTCCCCTCAATTCCCAGGCACCAAAGGGGTCCTGAGCCAGCGCCCCACTGCTGCTGCCTAGACAAGAAGCCCTTCCCTCCCCGGGACCCCACAGGGCCCCACCCAACTCCCCCTCCTGGGGACCCCATGGCAGGAGGCAACAACCCACTGGACAGATGGGAATCCTTGCCTGCCTCTGAGCGGGGGTTGTGAGCCTCGGGCAGATCTGGGAGACCCCCTCAGTGGGGGCCGTCAGGGGGTGGGGGTCTGCAGACCAAGTGCGGCCGAGGCCCCACAGCAGCGTACAGGCGGCCCTGCCCCCCTCCGCGGCCCTGGACACAGCGCTGACCTGCGCCTTGTCTCTGCCCCGCAGAGCCCAGCACAGGGGGGGCTCTGGGGGCCCCCACCGCCCAGAAGAGCAGCTGCCACCAGTGTCTGGGGCATGACGGAGCCCCCTTCTCCAGGTGAGTCCCATAGCAAGCCCCAGCAGCCCTGGGCGGCAGCAGGGGTCGGGACGAGCCTGGGAATGCCTTCCACGCCCACTCACCTCGGGTGGCCAGCGGGGGCTGGAGTTAGAGAGCGGACACTGCTGTGGGCGCAGGCCCAGAGCCCCCCGCACAGTGACGGCTGTCAAAATCAGGGCACAAAAGTGACCCAGGTGATTCCAGGGCCCAGGTGGGACAGCCTGGCTCCAGCTCTGGGGACCACTGTCTCTCAGCCGGCACTGCTGCTCCTGGTCGCTCTGCCGCGTGAGGGTGCTTTAACCCGCGTTACAAATGGGTAGATGGCGCCCAGCAGCCCCCCATGGTGACAGTGGGGTTGCTGGGGAGCCCCCTGGGGGCCTGGGCGTGCTGGGCGGTGGTCTTTAGTGCCCTGAGCAGAAACGAAGCCACCAGGCACCCTGGATAGGCTGCAGGCCTGGTTTCACACCAGAACCCAGCCCCGTGATTTCGCGGGAACAAGGGGTCTGGGGCTTTATGGCGCCCGCCCCACATGGGGCTGTAGAACACCCTGGACTTTAGCCCGGCGTACGGGCCGGGCTGTGCTGGCTATTCCCTGCAGCTGGCGCTCAGCCTGGGGTGGGGGCCGTTGACAGCTAGCCAACTCTGGCCAGTGTAGCTGCCCACGCTGCCCCTGACCTGCGTCTCAGTCCTGTGTCCCCCTCAGCAGTGAGCCCCGCTGCGGGGATTCAGTGGGCTCTGGAGGGGCAGTGGCGCTCAAAGGTCCCGGATTCTAGGCGACTCACTGCCCAGCTTCAGCACACCATCCACTGAAGGGCCTCAGTTTCTCCATCCGTGCAATGGGGCGGGAGGGCGGGCCCGGGGCTCCGAGCCCACCCCGGGGCGGGGGCGTGGCCGGGAGGGCCAGGTGGGGCGGGGCCGGGCCGGGCCGGGGCGGGGCCGGGGCCCCTCGGCGCGGTGGCGGTGGCGGCGCGTGCGTGCCCGGATCGGGCGGGTGAGTGCGGAGGGAGCGTGGCGCCGGCCGGGGGGAACGCCGTGGGCGGAGGCCGATCGCCTCTCGTGCTGGGAACGGCGGCGGAGAGGGTCGGGGACATAGCCGCGCACGACGCTGGGGACCGGCGGCCGAGCGACAGCGGGGAGCTGGGCGGCGAGCGGGCGGGGGTGCGGAGCTCCGCCACTCGGAAGGCCGACCCCCAGCGCGGCCTCGGGTCTTGCGGCTGATTCTGCAGAATGGGCCCAGCGGCCGGGGGGAAGTGCGCCCCCTGCTGGCGACGGGCGCCCCGAGCCGTGCCGGGCCACGCGGGGGGCCGGGGTGGGGGCGCCGCAGCCCCTCATCCCGCATCTGGGCCCTGAGAGTCCTCCGGGGCCTGACTCGGGGCCTCGCAGGCCCCTCACCCCACAGCCCAGGCTAGGCTGGCCGTGTGCGGGGCGAAGGGTGGCACTCCACACTCAATGCCACCGCTCTCGAGGCCGACGGTGCGGGGCGAAGGGGAGGCGGGGGACTGGAGCTAGAGAGGGCATGTCCTGTGAGTCAGTCTTGTTGCCTCACGCTGCCTCTTCGTCCCCCACTCTCCGTGGGTCCTACGGTGCAGAGCACCCCTCCGGTGGAAGGGGTGGTCCAAGACCATCAGCCAGTGGCAGAGTCTGGACCCAGCGTCCCCCGGTAGGGGCTTAGGGACGTGGGCCAGACAGTGTGGGAGGGGAGGCGGTGGGGAGGGTTCACGCGGACGCTCGGAGGGTGGGGGCACTATTGCTTACGGACTTGATGGCTTGGGGCCACCCCTGCCCTGACGCGCCAGCCCCAGCAGGGCCGCAGCACCAAAGGGAAATGAGATTCTGCCAGCCCAGCACAGGCTGGGCCGCGCCATCAGCTTCCTCCAGCCTCGGAGAGCAGCCTGACCCTCGCCAAGCGGCCTGAATAAGTAGGGGGTGTGTGTGCTGCAGTGGCAGGCTCACCCCCAAGGTCCACCCCAAAGTTCATCTTCCCACAGCTCTGGCTGCTGCGCAGAAACTCTGAGAAGCCCCATGACCCCAAGCTCAGTCCTGACACCTCCAGCGCCCCTCCCCCACTCTGGGGCGCCAGGGAGAACAGGAGGTGCAGGAAGGACCCTGCCCAGGGGGCATGGGTGTGGAGTGGGCTCCCAGTGGAGTGACCGCAACACCAGCGGGCGAGGAGGGCCCGGGCACTGCTCCCGTGGTCCATGTTCGTGGGACTGACCTCCAGAGCCAAAGGAGGGCCCTCTGAGCCCCGGTGGTGTCTCTGAGGAAACCAGGGCCCCAAGGAGACAACACACTTCAGCTTCTTCCAGTGCCTTTTCCTGCTGGGGGCCCTGCAGGGCCCAAGACAGCTCACAGGCTGGCAGGGCCCTGGCCCCTTGGGGGCCTCAGGTAGGGCACCCAGATCAGGGGGCTCTGGCCGCACAGAGGGGCGGCATCCCCCCTTGCCCCCTGCCTGTGCAGACCGCCCCTCCCATCTCCTGGGCTGGTTACAACCATTAATTCAGGGCTGGGCTGCTCGAATTCCCAGGAGTCCTCTCCAGACCCCTGGCTCCGGCCCCCAACCAGACGTGGATGGCCATGAGCCCCTCCCTCTTTTGTGGGGGGTGGGGGAGACTGCTCCTGTCCCCCACCAGGTGGGTACCCAGTGGGCCACAGTCTGGGAGCCCTGGAGGCTGTTTGCTCGACACTCCAGACCGGTTCAGTCCCAGCAAAGGCACCCCCCTCTGAAATGCAGGCCCCCACCCTCCCAGGGGGGCAGAACTTCTCGTGGGTGTGGAGGGCCCACAGCTGCCCAGCAGGACTCCCACAATGCCCAGGGCTGGCTCCCCGTTGGAGGACACTAGAGGCCAGCATTTGTGGGCTGAGATGGGGGCGCCAGCATGCCCTTGCCCTGCCCTGTGCTGATGGGGAGGCAACAAACCCTGCTGGGGAGGGCACACCGGTCCCCCAGTGTGCCCTGGGCCGCCCCTGCCCCAGGGACTGCCCTGCAGCCTTGGACACTTCCTGTGTGCCCAGTGGGGTCTGGGCACCTGGCCCCAAGCCAGGTGCTGGCGTCCATTCCTGGGCTCCAGATGTTACCTTTCCGTGGTGCCCCACGGGCTGCGTGTGGGTGGTGAGGGGCTGGGAACTCTCCCGCTGGCAGGAGGTGGAGGCAAGGGGACCGTCTCCCCCAGGAGCATGGGTTTGGTGGGGATCCGCAGCGGGACCTGCAGGCCACTCCTTGGGTTCCAGGCCACCCTGAGGAGAAGGCCGCGTCACGGGGGACACGGGCCATGTGGGGCTGCAGGGAGCTGCTTCTGCTGTGGCCGCTGGTGCTGGCGGCAGGCGGTGCAGAGAACATCTTCAGGCCCGGGTGAGCCCTCCCCCACCCCGGGCAGCGTCCCCCAAACTCTCGGGGGCCGTGGCTCTTTCTTGTGGCTGCTGCTGAGGGTCCTTCCCACCGCCCCCTTGAGAAGCCCCTTCCCCAGGTTCTCTGCTTCCTTGGGTTCCAGGGCTGGGAGGGCCTGGCTCTGGGGGTCCCCCGGCTGACTCGCCCCCCTCCTCTAGGCGCAGAGTGTGTGCCGTTGGGGCCCCCCGGGGCCCTGTGTCCGAGTCCTTCGCGCAGCGGGTGTACCAGCCCTTCCTCACCACCTGTGACGGGCCCCGAGTCTGCAGCTCGTACCGGTGAGAGGTTGCTACCACCATGCGTGAGCTCCGGGGTCCGGAGGGGGGCAGTTCCCCACGAAATGGGAGGCGGAGGCCACGTCCGAGCCCGTGACAGAGGCCGCTGCCTGTGTGAGCGTGGCAGTGAGGGCGCCATGGTGACCTCCAGCAATCCCTCCCCACTCACCTGCTCCCCACCCTCGTTTTCAGAGGGGTCCTGCGCCCGGTCTGCCCCCTCCGTTTTGGGCATCACTGGCTACAAGTCCTGTCCCCCGGGATGATGCCATCTCTATCGCCCGGGTCCCCTCAATAGCCCCATTGGTTGCAGAGAGAGGCCCCAGCCCCGGCCCTCCCTCACCAGGATGCCCCGGCAGCCTGTGTCTGTAGGGGGGACATGCGTCTCTGGTTCTCAACTGTGGACAGGCACCTTAAAAGCGTTTTATTTTCTGCAAGGGTCTCCAAGACCTCCTGGCAGGGGTGGGGGCCAGTGTGGGCGGGGTTAGGCTGGGAATCCTGGGACAGGCCAGCACGGGCCAGAGTCCTTGTCCCTGCGGGCGGCCACTTGGTCTCCTTCTCCGGCCAGAACATTGGGAAACACTCCTTCCCCGAGCCTGTTAACCAAGGAGGGGAGGGGCTGTAATTACAACCCCAGTCAGGAGTCCCGCATGCTGGGGGTGGCCCGGGGTCCAGCTCTCGGGGGCTCCTGAGCAGTAGGGTGGGCAGCCATGGTCTAGCAGAGCACCCTCGTAAACTGGGGACACCTGGGTGCCCTGTCCCTACAGGCTGGCAGGCCTGGATCCCAGACCCCCTGCTCTATGGCAGGCAGAGCCGGGACTCCTGCCAGGCCTCGGGGGCCCGCTCAGCACCACAGCACAGAGCAGGCAGAGGGGCTGGGCAGTGACCTAAGGTGCTGTCCCTGGGGGCAGAGGACCTCTGGGGACACTTTTGGGTGACTTGTCCATTCTGGGGAGAGACCGTTTGTGTGGCTTCTGGGGGCCTTTCAGCAAGGAAGGATGGCAAACAGGGAGGTCAGGGGGTCACAGCCGGCACGGCACGTCTGCCGAAAGCCTGGCCCGGGTCCGGGAGACCTGGTGGCACTCGGGCAGGCCACCGCGTGAGGACAGGGCCTCTCTGAACCGCCCCGTCCCCGCTGCAGGACCATCTACAGGACCGCCTACCGCCGAAGCCCTGGGCCAGCGCCCTCCAGGCCTCGCTACGCCTGCTGCCCCGGCTGGAAGACGACCGGCGGGCTCCCTGCAGCCTGCGGAGCGGGTGAGGCCCCGAGGCAGCGGGCGCGAGTCGGAACGTGGCCCCGCCGTGTCCCGTGGGCGGCTGGCCCACGGCCGGACCTGGGCAAAGCGCTGGCTGCCTCTGGAGACCTAAGCCCAGCGCCTCTTTGCCGCCCCTTCCCGGGGACCTTCATGAATTGGTGACAGGCCTCCACCTCCCACAGCGATATGCCAGCCACCGTGTCAAAACGGAGGGAGCTGTGTCCAGCCGGGCCGTTGCCGCTGCCCTGCAGGGTGGCGGGGCGACACCTGCCAGACAGGTGAGGCTGGGCGCCACCCTGGCCCTGTGACAGGTCCGTCTTGAGGGGGTTCGGGGAGGGCCCCAGCCCTGCCTGACACCGGTCTCCCCACAGATGTGGATGGACACGGTGCCGGAGAGGGCGGCTGTCCCCACTGCTGTGCCAATACCCTGGGCAGTCGCTGGTGCCAGTGTCCTGAGGGGCACGGCCTGTCCGCCAGTGGGAAGCTAAGCCCGCCCAGGAGAGGGACCCCCAGGGTGGCCCCGAACCCTGACAAAGGTGAACCCCCCACTTGCTGCTGCACTTGGGGCTCGGGCAGGGGGGCCCTGGGTGCGGGGCATGTGGGGCACCAGAGGGCCTCTCCCAGACTGGGGCAGCAGGGGGCCCTTCCTCAGAGGGGGGTTGTGGGGTGGGGGGCACGCTCGGCCGGAGCGGGGAGGGCCCTGTGTCCCTGCTCCGCAGCCTGCAGGCACCGCACCGCCGCTGGCGACGGGACATTATTACTTTTGGTACGCGCTGTGACACTTCAAACTCGTACCGTGAGTAATAATGCGCCGTCGGCAGCCCAGCAACCGAGAGCACAGCGCAGACCTCGGCGGGGACACCTGGGTGCAGCGAGGACCTCCCCTCAGTGCAGTGGGGACTGTGCTGCGGGGCCGGTGGGTGGGGCTGCATCCGCCCTGGGTGCACTGAGCGGGTGGGGCCCCCCCAGACCTCCAGGCCGCCCCTGCTGGATGGCGGGTCCCAGGACGAAGGGCTCGCCACGCCGGGTCAGAGGCCAGCCTGGGGTGGGGGTGCCAACCGGGCCTCCCCGACTCAGCACCGGGTCTCCCCAGGTGTGGACAGTGTGGTGGAGGAGGAAGTGCAGAGGCTCCGGTCACGGGTGGACGTCTTGGAGCAGGTGAGGCCTGGGCTGGGGACCGAGGGCCTCGGCCTGGCCCCCCCCATTGTCTCCTGTCAGCTGTGGGGTTCAGGGGGGTCTTCTTTGATCCTGACAGCCCAGGGTGCCCTTGGCTTAGGTCCCATGCCAGGCAGGGGCAACAGGGATGACTGGGACCCCGTGAAGAGTGAGTCCAAGCTCAGCCCTGTTCCCTCCAGCCACACAGAGAACCTGAACCCAGGTCCAGCCCACCCCGCCTTTGTCCCTGAGGGGGACATAGTGCTCCTGTGAGCCTTTGCATGGAGCTATTGGCCTGAGGACCCTTGAGATGCTCAGGGTCCTCAGGGTCCCATAGTCCTGGGGTCCCACGGGCCAGGTCTGCGTCCCCCTGCCTCTGGCTCTCCTGGCGCAGAGGCTCCCTCTGGCGGCCATCCAGGGTCCTGCAGCTAGAGCTGGGTCTGGGGTTTGGTGATCCCTCGCTGGCCACGGCAGTTTCCTTAAAGGCTTGTGGGTCCGTGGGGTGAGGGCTGGCCCAAGGCCCCCGCCCCGAGCCCACGCTGCCCCTGCCTCCCCACAGAAGCTGCAGCTGGTGCTGGCCCCCCTGCACAGCCTGGCCTCGAGGGCACTGGAGCAGGGGCTCCCCGACCCCAGCAGCCTCCTGGCCCACTCCCTGCGCCAGCTGGACCGCATCGACTCTCTGAGCGAGCAGATCTCCTTCCTGGAGGAGCAGCTGGGGTCTTGTGAGTGCCCAGCCCCTTGCCTGCCGCCCCACCCATGGAGCCTGTGCCGCTGCCGGCCGGGCCAGTCCTCACCGGAGAGGCCAGGGGGTGGGTGGGCGCCAGAGGCTCAGGGGAACCTCTGGCTGGACTGGAAGGTGGTGGGAGCCGTGACCTCTGACCTCAGCTCCCATTCCCCCCATAGGTTCCTGCAAGAAGGAGCTGTGATGGGCTGTCTCATGTCCGGCCCCTGCACCTCTGCCGGCTCCCTGGGCCTGGTGGGCCATGGCAGAGGGGTGGTACGAGAGCCCCCTACCCAGGGCTGGGGGCCCCTGACTGGGCTGCGAGTTGGCGGGGGGGCGGTGGGGTGGGGGGGAGCTCCATCCCCGATCTTCGTCAGAATAAAATGAGACTCAGAGAGCTGCTGTCTGTGTCCATGGGTGGGTTGTTCAGGGCACTTGCAGGGTGGCAGGGGCCTCCCCCAGGACCCCCACCACGTGCTGGCCAGTGGAGAAAGGGGGGCAGCCACAGTGCAGGGAGAGGCCTCAGCCCCTGGGTGCTCCTAGGGAGGGTCTTGGTCCACCTCCAAAAGGGGCTACAGCAGGTGGCTTCTGGGAAAGTGACACTGACCAGAGATAGCTTCCTCCTGGTGACACAGTGTCCCTGCCCCAGGCCTGTGGCCAAAGAGCGGATCTTCAGCCTCCTTCCCTAGTGCCTGCCAGACCCTGGGCATGCCCACTGCCCCCTTCAACCTTACCTGTTGAAAGAAGTAGCACGGCGTGACCATGGGCCGAGCCCCCCAGGAAGGGGATACTGGGGGTTGGGGGAGTCGGGAGGAGGTGTGAGCAGCCTAGAAGACCCCCAGGTGCTGCCCACCCTCTGAGTGACCACAGCTCACCATGCACTTCTCAGAGTTCATTTATAAAAACAACCAGTGGGAGTCCCAGAGGGAGCGGGACCGGCTCCCAGAGCCCGCGCCTCCCTGGCAGCCTGATGCAGGCCGGGCTGGGAGGCCCAGCAGGAGGGCCCGGGGCCCAGGCCTGCTCCAGCACCCGGTGTGAGGCACAGGGCGGACCAGGCGCTGCCCTCGGCCTGGGGAGGTTCCGGCGGACTCTGCAGTGACCTCAGCAGCCTGGATCCGAGGCCGGTGACAGGAAGAGGCTCCCTGCTTCCGGGGCCCAGGGAGAGACGCCCGGCCATGGGTGTGGGCCACAGTGGCACTTGGCAGCCGAGGCAGGGCAGGGCAGGGTCCTTCTGTCCATCCTCTAGCCAGAGCCTGCACCCTGCCCCTCCAGGTCCTGCCTGCCACAGGCCTCGGCTACTGGGCGGGCTGGGCACCAGGCCCCGCAGTGGCCCCGTTCTCCTGGGGCGTGTTGGATAAGTGGAAGAAGGTGGTCCGCATGGCTTTGTGGCAAGTGTCCATGAGCTGGGGGATATCACTGACGGTGAGGCCACTGGTGGGGATGGCGTCCAGGACCTCCACCTTGATGGTTCCTGTGGCGGGGGGAGAGGGAGTTAGTGACCCGGGGCTGGGCACCCCACCCGTGCCTGCCGCCTTGGCTCCCACGCTGCACCCTCTCCTTACTCCACTGCCAACAGAAGCCCCTCCCCTTCAGCCACCCACCTTCAGCCTTCCCTGTGGAGTCCCCCTGAGGGCCCAGTTGGGCTGGTTTCCTCCTGGGCCTGCTGGGGTGGCTGGTTTTCAGTTACATTCACTCTCACGGTCGGGATGACTGCAACCCCCAGCTGAGCACCACCAGGGGCCAGAACAGCCCCCACCCTCCAGGAGGAAGTGTCCTCCTGGCCCCTCCCCACTGCCCTTCAACCTTGGACCCCACCTTTGCACCTGGGCACTGGGGCAGCGTCTGGAGAGAAGGGCAGGGGTCCCAAGCTCTGGGGCCCATGGGAATGGGGGTGCCTGGGAGGCTTCTGCTCCCGTGAGCCAGGCCTGGACGCCTGGGCTCACAAGCCCCCCAGTGCAGGAGCCGAGTCCACCTCGGGCCCCAGTGCCGTGGGCAGCCCAGACTTGTGTGTGGGCTCAGGGACCCGGCCCACCCTCTGGAGGCCTCAGTTTCCTTACTCAGAAAACAGCCCCTGGCTGAGGCTCTGGGTCCCTCCCTCCCCCAATCCCCGGAGTGGTCACTGTGTGGTGGGGGCCTGACCTTTAGTAAACCCCGGAAATGGGAACCACATTCCATTAGGAACCACATTCCATTAGGGGCCCGGGCCGTGTGTGCATGGTGCTACCTGAGGTGAATCGCTTCGTCCTGGGGTTGTAGAAGGAAGAGAAGCTGGAATACACCACAGGGATGATGGGCACCTGTGCACAGAGATGAGGGAAGCCTGAGGACCTTGGGAGCCACCGCCAGACCACCCGCCCAAGGGCGAGCTTGTGGGGGAGCCCTGCCTCACCTTGGGGTTGCCCACAGCACCTGTGGCTGCCAGTCAGGCACCGTGTCTGACCTCGGGGCCCTTCCACATGCTGACCCCCCAAGCCTGGGACACCCTCTATGGGTTGGGTGGTCCAGAGGGCCATAAACTCATCCTGCATACCTGCATTCAAGCATCACCTCCTCCAGGAAGCCTTCCTGGGTTGGCATATATCAGATTCACACCGGTGCCCCCCACTGGGTTCTAAGATTACCTGGGGGGGGGGGCAGGACCCTGTCCAATATAGCCAGAGGAGGCTGTCCTCCGCCCCCGGACGCCTGGGGACAGAATCAGCCAGGGGAGGGGGCAGGGCCTACTGGCATTCTGGAAAACACCAGGGTCAAGTGCAACGGTGACTGCAAGGTTGGAAGCGCTGCCTGGGATAATCATTAACCCAGCAGCTGGGGAGCCTCTCCCGGGGACCAGCAGAGGGTGGGGGCAGCCTGAGAGCCCAGGGAGGGCACTGTCCAGCAGGCCCTGCGGGGAGATGGGGGGTGGGGCAGGGGCCGTGACAGCGAGTGACGTGCAGTCTCCTGGCTGAGGCTGCTGCTGCTCCTGCCCCACCCCTGCCGCCTCTTCCACCGGCGGGTGGGCCCCCCTCTCGGACACCACCAGCAGAGGAGGTGACATCAGGCTGGGGCACGCAGCGGGGTGCCCTCCACCTCCTGACCAGAGGGCCCAGGGGCCCAGCGAGCCCAGGCTGCGGTCTCCTCCTTCCCCTGCCAGCTCCTGCACCCCTCCGACATTGCTGGGCCTCTGGCAGGAAGGCTCCCCGGGCCTTGCTCAGAGCCATGGCTAGGGGGCGCCAGAGGCCACTTGTCACAGCTGGGAGCCCTGAGAAAGGCTGCCACACCCACCTGACTCCCCAGACCCTACGGTTTCCCTGTAAGAACCCCCACCATACAGGCCCGGGGGTGGGACAGGGTGCCCACCAGGAGGTGCCCTCATGGACAGATGTACCCTCTGCCTCGGCTGACATCACCGCAGGTCCCAAGACACCTCTGGGCCGAGCTGCGTCCCGGAAGTCCAGGAGCAGAACAGTGTGAGGTCCCACCCACGCATGGCAGGGCTCACACCCAGGCTCACCTCTGGCTCTGGCCCACGCCCGCCCCACACCCACTGCCCACTCTGCACCCGCCCCAGCCAGGAGCGTGGGGGCAAATGAGCACTCAGCAAGCAGGCCTGCCGCTGCTGCCTCGCCCCACAAGCCCCGCTCGCTCGGGGGCCCTCCTGGCCAGCTAGGGACCTGGGTGCACGTCATTCCAGCTGGGCCCTGCTCCCGAGCAGGCACCGCCTTAACACGCGGCGGGTGCAGGTGTGAGGGGCATGAGGCCCTGCCCAGGACGGGCCGGCCCTGCGCACTCCCCGCCCCAGCCCCACCTGGCAGTCACCAGCAGCCTTCGGCCAACCCGGACCAGCTTCCCTGACCCCGGGGCAGCCCCGGGAGGGCGAGGCCCCTGCACACCTGGGCTTGGACCGCCAGATAGAAGGCACCTTTCTTGAAAGGCAGCAGGTCCCCATTGCTGTTCCGTGTGCCCTCGGGGTAGATCCACACTTTCAGCTGCAGGGGAGAGAAGAGGAGGGTGTGGGCTGGGGGCGGCCGCACCCGTCCTCCTCAGGAGCCGAGACCACCACTGCCGGCCACAGGAGGGCCCTGCGCCCGCTTTCTGTGCCATTCGAAGGCAGGCGCGGGAGACGTGTTTTTCACACCCAGAGGAGGCCCGGCCCGTGGGGCTGCGTTGCCTCCTGCCGCTTCCGGCCAAGAGGAGCGTGAGTGCTCGCACACCCAGCAGGTGGTGCCCCTGCACCCGCCACCCCGCACTCACGTTCTCCTGGGTCATGCGCTGGCCCACTTCTGCCATCACGGTCATGGCCGTGCTGGAGCGCTGCCGGTTGATGAAGAAGACGCCCCCCAGGTACATGATCAGGCCCACGGGCCCCATGAAGAGCAGCTCCCGCTTGGCGATCTGCACGCACCGCTGCGGCAGGATCTCCATGAGGCCTGTCGGGGAGGGGGGAGGGGCTCAGAGCCCGGGGGCCACCTCCCTGTGCCCCTCTGTCCCCAGGCCCGGGGCAGAGGGGCACCTCCCACTGGCTGCCCGAGCAGGTCAGCGCCCCATGCTCTCTCCCGCCCACGAAGGAGCTGAACAGAGCTCCCAGCTTGCTTTTGGGGAGCGCAGAATCCTACCACACACGCACCCGTGGCCCAGCTTCCCTGGCCTGGGGGGCCCTCCTCACCCCCAGCTCACCTGGGCGCCCCCACCAGCCCAGACCAGGCCGGACCATCGCGCCCTTGGCCTACCCATCATGTCCAGGATGCTCTGGTGGTTGGAGACAATGACACAGGGACGGTCCACCGTCAGCTTCCGGTGTCCCTTGACGTCAAAGCGGAGGCCGTACAGGTACTTGAAGGACCGGACGAACCAGCTGATGATGCTGCGGGAGAGACGGTGCCGGTGAGCGGAGGCCCCTGGGACCCTGGGGAGGGCACGGTGACACAGCAGAGAGACCCCCCATCCGCTCTCTCCTGGGCTGGCCCTCCAGAGCCTTCAGGTCCTGCCCCTCATGGGATGCCCGAGGGACACCCTGCCTCCAGCCGCCGCAGCCTCCGGGAGCCAAGCCTCAGGGGGTGGACGCCCAGTACAGGGGAGGGGCCTGCTCCCCCACCCACATCCCAGGAGCCCGCCCTTGTCACCCCCAGGGCCCTCAGCCCACGCCCCACCTTGTGCAGCCAAGTGGGGACCCAGCTGGATGGGGGCTGGAGGGTGAGCGCTCCCGGGACAGGCTGGGTCTGATTCTCTGCCACGTCAGCGACAGAAGGACCACCATGGCGAAGACGTCCCGTGCCTGACAGGGAGGGCCAGGCCCCACCCACACCCTCCCGGGCAGGAGACCTAGACTGGGAAGCGGCTGCCCCTCAAGGCAGTGCCCCACCAGGAAATAAGGGCGGGTACCAAGTGCAGACCTCTGTGAGGCGTGGAATGACGGGGACCCAGAGCTGAGGGGGCCACCCAGGCCACGCCCCTAGCCTTCCCTACCCCCCCCCCCCCCGGCCTGCAGAGCAGGACCAGTGTCCCCTTCTCACAGAGGAATCCCTGGGCCCAGGCAGGTCACAGGAGACATCGCTGTGGGGTTGGGGCGCCCGCAGACCCCTGGCCGCACCACAGGAGGCTGCCTGGCACCCGGGACGTGCGGGGCCCAGTGGCACGTTTAGAGGGTTCCGTCCTTTGTCTGCCCACAGGGCTGCGTCAGCCGATGGCTGGCTGGGTGCGGACAATGCAAGGAGGAAGGGCAGCCTGGGCCCCTGCTCCAGGGGACGCTTTGCTAACACCTGGGACAGGACAGGCGCCCTCCGGGGGTCAGCCTCGGGGTGGGGGAGCTGAGGCTCGAGCTCACTGCTCTGCGGCTCCCTGCAGGGCCCAGGGTCCTGTGGACAGTGGGGGACCAGGAACCTGCTACCTACTGACCCAGGGGTTCCTAGCGCACGTCTCCCAGAAGATTCCGGCGAAGGCGCTCCCCAGCCGTGACATCTACAGCCCCGCGGGACGGAAGGAGTCCCCCACCCCGGCTCGGGGCACAGCTCCATGGCAGCAGGGACAGTCCCGCTGCTGTGCAGCTGCCGCCACCGTCCTCTCCAGGACTGTTGTCCTCCCACAGGGAAGCTGGGTCCCCGTGAGACCCCACTCCCACCCCAGCCCCAGCCCCACCGTGGACTCCGTCTCTGTGGGTCTGCCTCCTGCAGGGGCCGTCCCGTGTCTGAAAGGCAGGCTGTTTTGTTTGGTTTTTTTTTTGGAGAGAGGGGGGGGAGGAGGAGAAAGGGTTTTCTTGTTGCGCCCACCTTAGGACGAACCGGCCACGTCTCTCTCCGAGTTTAACTGCAGCGGGAGGGCAGGCAGCCCCGGTCGCCCTGCGCTGCAGGCTTGGGGAAGCTGAGGCTCCGGGAGGCGCCGCAGTTGGCCCTGGGCTGCCGTCCCGGCCAGACCCGCGGGGCCTCCTGCCCAGAGCCGCCAGGTGAGCTGCCCTGCTCCTTAACCCCGGGGGCCTGTTTTCTCACATGGGTGCAGAAGGCAGCGTCCTGTCCCTGTGAGGGCAAGGGAACCAGGGGAGGACACGAGCGGGCAATTCACAAAAAGAAAAACCTTAAGTCCAGTACACAGAGAAGAAGTCCCATCTCACTAGCAATTGAAGAAATGCCCATCTGAACAAGAGCGCCTGGCGCTGGCCAGGTGCCCCGGTGGGCTGGAGCATCGTCCGGTCCACCAGAGGGCTGCGGGTTCGATCCCTGGGCAGGGCTCGGGCAAGAGGCAGGCGATTAACGTTTCTCTCTCTCCCTTCCTCCCTCTCTAAAATTAATAAAAATATATCCTCAGGTGAATATTAAAAAAAAACACACACAGGAACACCCTTTTGTCAACCTTCAGATTAGCACAGATAAGAGGCTGTCCCCGGAGGCAGGCATTGGGAAACGGCCTGGGGCGGGGGCCACCGGAAGGCGGGTTGGCGGCAGCGCAGGAGCCTGAGTCCCTGTGACCTGGAATGGCCTTTCAGGGTCATCGGGAGGGAGGCGGTCCGGGCGGGCGGGCGAGCAGCTGGACTCAGGTGTGGAACAGATCAGGAAACTCCAAAAGCACCTGCACCCCAGAAGGGAGCAGGGAAAGGAACCGGGGTCCGTGGCACAGCAGCCAGAGAGAGTGACGGCTGGGCCTGTGTTTATTATTACGGGGCGAGCTCCCGACTTCTGACCCCGTGACTTCCGGTGGGTCTGCAGGCCTGCCCTCCGCACCCAGCGGCGCACTCAGGTCACACAGGGAATGACAGCTGTTTTCCCTCCTGTTTTCATACTGTGGTAAAGCCCCGGCAGGCAGGGTAGCCCAGTGGGTTACAGGGTCGTTCCCACACACCAAGGTTGTGGGTTTGATCCTGGTCGGGGCACACACAAGCATCAACCAGTGAGTGTATGAACAAGTGGAACAACAGATCGATGTTTCTTTCTGTCTCTCTTCTCTCTCTCAGATCAGTAAGTTAAAAGAAAGGTTTATTGTGGTGAAACACACAAGATACACGTCACTTTCACTGGGCATCATTCGGGCCTCCCCACTGGCCTGCAGCTGTCCTCCCCAGGACTTTCTTCTTGTGTCTGGGGTAGGAGCTGCCTGTGTGTTGTCACTGTTTCCAACTACAAAGACACTGTGTAGCAAACTCCACCAGCAGAGCGAGGCAGAGCCATCTCCCCAACCCCGGTCCCCAGGTCCCCGCCAGGGCCAGGCAGCCAGGCGGGGCCGGGCTGGCGGGACCCAAGGCTCAGGAGGGACACAGCCAGCCAGACAGCGGGGCCACAGGAGATGGGGACACCCCCCAGAACACACTCTTGACGCTTTTGCAAATGACGGCACTCACACGAAACTAAAACACACCCCAGCCAGCGCGACCGCAGCGAAGTGCACGCCGTGCACGTGTCACCACGGTTTACCAGTGTTCCGTCAAAGACAGGCAGGCGAGCACAGCTCCGAGGACCCCTGCCTCCCCAGGTGTTGCTAGGTGTCTGCCTGTGTGCCAGCAGGCACCGGGCACAGGGCGGAGAAAGCTGGGTGGCAGGGACGGCCCCCACGGCCACCCCCTGTTGAACACCCACTGTGTGCTGAGCACCCCGCCAAGGGCTCCACCTGAACTCAGACGATAACCCCACGGTGTCCGCTCACTCAGTGTGCCCTTCCTGCAGGCGATGGAGGTGAGGTTCGGAGGTGTTCAGTGGCTTCCTCAAGGCCACACAGCAGGGGCCGGAACCACATCTTACCCTGAAAAGGGTGCTGGGTGCTGGGCTGAGGGTGGGCGGGAGGCTCAGAACTGCAAAACCCTGGGAGGCCCTCAGAGACCGCCCTCCCTCACCCGCCCCTGGGGCCCACCCAACCTGCCAGCAGGGCCGGAAGTGGTTCTGTCCCCTCGCCCCCCCAGAACCTAAAAGCACTGTCTCCCCCAGGCTGCCCCGTCCCGAGGGTCAGCCCTCTGTCATGGCCCAGAGGCTCCGCAGGGCAGGTGTCAGTAGTGCTGGCCCTGGGACATGGCCGCACAACTCTGGTTGCCGTCCCCCCAACTCCGTGACCCTGCAGGGGAGGCCACTGGGGGTAAAGCCAAGGTTGCCTGAAGCCCAGGTGACCGGCGTGAGCTCCCCGCGGCAGGGCAGGTGCCCCCCGGAGCAGGCCATTTCTGACCACGTGCAGGAGTGGCCAGCTCCTCAAGCAGAGGGGGTGCCCTGGCCCGCCGGGCGCCGTCTCGGGAGCCCTTCACACAACTGCAGACCAGCACCGTGAACACCAGTCTTCTGGGGCCCTTGCTCGTGGGGGGTACAGAAAGCCAGCCCCCTCAGGCCACCTGGGTCCCTCTTGAGCTCAGTCAGACGGACCATAAGTGGGTCCTGACTCCCTTCTCACAGGCTGCGACCCTGGGCCATGCACTTGACCTCCCCAAGCTGTCTCTGCCTGTGAAACCGGGAGGGAGCAGAGGGATGGAGTGTGATGAGGCTGGGTGCCCGTGAAAACTGCAGGGACCTGGAAGTCCTCACAGTCAGTGGCTTCAGGGGCAACGGCACAAAAGAACCCAAAGCGAATGAAGCAGCCCCCTGCCTTGGCCAGCCCAGGCCCGCCCGGCTGGCCCTTGGTCCAGGGAGCCGGCAGAGAGTTCAAGGCCGGGCCAGGCTACCTGCTGGCCTTTGCCCTCAGCCCCTGGACGCGGGCTGCGTGGCCCCAGGAGACCCGAGCGGCTGTCTGGGCCGGGGTGTGCCAGTCCTCAGCCAGACCCCTCGGAGGTGGGGAAGAGGTGGGGCTACCTCGGGGGGGCAGCCCTGCCAGGAGGGCAGTGGGGAGGGCCATCGGAATGCCCAGTGAAGCCACCTGGCTGAGGAGGGGCGTCTGCCATCGAGTGTCACAGGAGATGGAACACGAGAAGGGGACAAGAGCCAGGGAGTGGGATAGGGGCTTCCCGCCTGTGCAGACGCCCAGGGGCGCTAAGAGGGGGCGCACAGGAGCAGGGTGAATCCGGGGAGACCCTCTCGGCCTCATTAAAGAGCCAGTCTCCAGGACCAAGCACTGGTGGGAGCTCTGGTCTCTGGTCCCGGGGGACAGTTTGTCCCAGCAGGACAAGAGAGGACCTCCCTTCAGTTCTGGGGCCCCAGGATGGCCCCCAGGTGCTGTGGGGCTCCCCATACACTGTGTCCCCACCCAGGCACCACCCCCCAGGACTGCGAATTTCTGGCAACACTGGTGAAGAGTGGCCATTCCAGATTTAAACTCAGACCAGCACCGACAAGTCCCCTGGCCTGTGTGGCCCGTTCTCCCCTCCTCGATGTTTGGTGCGGGCACAGCGCCCACTGACCAGGTGCCTCACTGTCCTGCCTCCCTTGCAGCTAAAAGCCACACTGCCCTGGTCCCAGGATGGATGTGGAAACACGTGGGCCGGTCCCCAGAGGTCCTGCCACAGTGGCGGCCTGCTGGACACTGAGATTAGTGGGGCTATAGGACAGAGGAGCCCGCAGCTTTCGGTGGCCCCAGGCCGAGCAGCTGTGGTCTGCTTTGATGCAGGAAATAGTAAGCTCTGGTTCAGTCGCTGTTACCAGGTTTCCTGACCCTGCAGCAGAGCCCAACCCTAACACACACAGCTTCCCTGGACTCCACCTTCCTCCCGGTCAAATGGGCACAATGAGGGCGTCTGTCTCCCGGAGTGTGACTTGCTGCTCCTCCCGAGTGCGAGTGCGACCTGTAGGGCACTACTCGCCCAAGTGGGTCCCCAGTCTCGGCCCCCAGCCGGGTCGGGACAGAGCCAGCCTCTGCCCTTTGTCCCCCTCGCTCTTCCAGGCCCACTTCCAACTCCAGTCTACACAGCAAACGCCTCCTTGGGTGCCCCCCCAGGAGCTCAGAGCTTCCCCAAAGCCTGGTCGCCAGCCCCGTGGCGCTGCCCTGGCCCCCGGGGACGGGAGGCGCGAGGACGAAGGGAAAGCCTCGGCAGGTCCACTCCCGGTTCTGCCACATCCCCTCCCAGCTCCAGGACCAGGCGACCACTCCCTCTTCCCTCCCCAAGGCCTTAGTTTCTAGTTGCTCCTCTGCCCCTCAGACTCTTCGTCTGTACAAGGAACACGCACAATCCATCCCCGGGGTCCGGGCTTCTGCGGCCCACAGTGGGGCTCCGGGGTCGTGCCCGGCCGGAGAGCCCTTCGGAAGGCAGGATGGGACAGGGGGGCTGCCGGGCCCCCAGGGTGCCCAGGGCTGTGGGGCACACCGAGCAGACTTGGTGGAGGGGCCGAAACGAGGCGCATACCCTGCCGCTCCGCCCCTCCCTCCCCTCCGCCTGTGTCCTCCCGGTCCATCCAGGACCAGCCGCCTAGAGCAACACAGAACCTCCTTGTTCTCTGAGTCTCTCAGCCCCCACAGCCGCACCCCTGGAAACCCACAGTCACAGTCACCCCACCCTGTGGGGGCTGGCGGTCCCAGCTAAGGGTGTCTGGGCGCCCCCAGGCCCACCTTTGCTCTGGAGAGAACAGAGCACCTGCTGTTAGGTCCCGCGGGCCCTTCGCAGCGCCTGGGTGTGGGGGCTGCCCCGGGGAGGGAGGGGCAGGGCGCTCCCACCAAGCACCCTCAGGGCATCAGGGGCCCGGAGGAGGACAGCTACTTGGCCAGAATCCGGTGAAGCTGGGGCTGCCAATCAGGCCCTGGGCTGGGACACCCCAAGCCCACGGGGGTAGGCCAGGCCCAGCCACCAGGTCGGCAACTCCTGACTTAACCCCGGGAGGGGGGGTAGCTCTGCCTGGGAGGCCGGTGGGGCTTTTTAAAAGGCGAGGAAGCGCTTGTAGAAAGGCCACCTGATGACCCAGAGTGGGGGAGGGGGAGGAAGGGTCGCCTCCGGGATCTGCTCTGCAGGGTCACCCTGCAGGGTGGGGACTCCCCGAAGGGCCCCAGACCCTTCATCTCAGCCGGGCCTACTAATTTAACCGCAGCCTGGGGCTCCCCTGCCCCGGGTGGCCAGCCCAGCGAGGAGGCGATACTATTTCTGGAAGCAGTCCCTTCCCTTCCCTTCCCTTCCCTCCCCAGAGGACATGGGGCAGCGGGGGGACTCGCCTGAAAGGCCCTCACCTGGGCCCTGGCTCCCAGGAACACTCCAGCCATTTCAGTGTGTGTAGGAGGAGAGGCCACCCTGAGCCACCTCAGTGCCGTAGGAAGCCACCACCACCTGAAGACAGGGCCTGGGGACCCAGGCCGTGTGGGCCAGCCCGGTACACCAGCCCGGTACACCAGCCCGCCCTGGCGGGAACAGAGGTGGAAGAGGCCAGGAGCTCCCACCCACTGCCCTGTAAGCATGGGAAGGGGGCGGGGGGGGGCTCAGACCAGTGTCCCCTCACCAAGTCACGGCCACGAGACTATTGCAAAACCCACAGAGACGTGTTATCAACAGCTATGTCCCAAGCCGGACCCAGGGAGAAAGGGCAAGAAGCCCCTGTCTGGAAGCCCCTCCAGCCTCTGACCCAGAGAGGTCATCAGGTCCTCTACTCAGCCCACCCGAGTCCCCACGGGGCACCTGACCCCTCCCCCCTCCCCAACGCCTGGTTGCCGGGTCTGCGAAGCGGCCAGAGGAAAATTCCAGCCACCACCCGCTTCCTTCACCTGGGCTGAGGCTGGACTCTATCGCGGAGCCTCCCACCTTCCTGAGCAGAGGAAGGAAATGGGAGGAGGAAATGGGAACCTGCCAGGGAGCCTGGGACCAGGAGTGTTCATCACCTGTCGAGCAGGTGGGAGGAGGGGTGGAGAGGAGAGGGCCGACCGGCCTCCCAGAGCTCAGGGTCCAGGCGGGGGCGGTGCTGCGCCGCCCGGCCTCGCTGCCCCGCGGGGAAGCAGGACGGAGCCTGTCCCAGCGCGGCCCAGGCCCCTTCCTCTCAAACACTGGCCTGAGCCACTCTCCGCCCAGGACTCCGTACCGCGCGCGCCCTCGTCTGGACTCAGGGACGCGGTGGCGCCGGAGGCCGGGACCTGTTTAAATCTGTCCTTCCCCCTGCTCCCCGCCCCGGCCCGGGACATTGTGACGCCGGTTCCCTGGGACCCCTGCCCCTCCTCGCCCGCCTCCCCAACCGCGAGCTCCTCTCGCGCGCCCGTCTGGGGCCGGAGAGAGGCGAGGGCGGGGCAGGAAGGAGGGAAAGGAGAGAAGAAAGTTGGGGAAGCGGAAGCAGGCGGCGCCCGGCGCTCCCCAGCCCGGCCCGGCGCTCCCCAGCCCGGCCGGCCTCCTTGCCTCATGTTCTCCACTGTCCGGCCGCCGTGGCGCAGCAGGCAGACAGCAGCGGCCACGAGGGAGACCGAGAAGCACAGCGCGCAGTACAAGGAGATCTTGGCGTAGAACTTGGCGGTGCGGCTCAGCTGCACGAGTAGCAGCAGCAGCAGTAGCGCCGCCGTCAGCCAGGGCCAGAGCTCCATGGCCGGATCCGCGCCGGGCAGCGGCGCCCTGGGGCCCCAGACGGCACTGGCCTCGGGCTCCCAGCCTGAGCTCCAGCCGCGGGCGCGACGCAGACCTGCGAACTGGCCGCGGCTCCCCTTCGTCCCCGCCCCGCCCGCGCCCCTTATTGCGAGGACCGAGGGGCGGGGCGGCGCGAGGTGGAGAGAGCGCGCGCGCCAGGGAAGCGGCTAGGTGCGGCGCACCCCGCGCGACTCCCTGGGCCACCGGGTCACCTCGCTCAGGCGCCGCCCCCATCCCAAAGCCCAGCCCTCCCTACTGGGTGTCATCCGCCCCGCCCCGCGACTCGCCCCCTTTACGCGGCCGCCGGGTCGCTCAGCCTCCCCCACCGCATCCCCCTCGAAGCCCTGCATCCCGGCCGCGGGGTCGCTGGGCCTCCGGCACCGCCCCCCGCAGTCCAGGCCTGCTCGCATGCCCGTGTTCCCCGCCGCCCGGCCGCCCGCCGCCACTGTTGCGCCGGAGCCCAGACCACAGCTCCAAAGGCGGCCCAAGGACGCTGCCGCCCATGCCACTCCCTTCGCCAAACAAATGGGCCCTTGAAACACACGCGAGTGACCAATGGCCACCTGGACAGGCAGCCTGACCCCTGGGGATTACCCCAGGCGACCCGCCCTGGGGGGCTTGGTGGGCACCCAAGGGGGGCAGTAGGAATGGGGTGTTTTTTCTGGGCAGGGCTTTTGGTGCCGACACTGGGTATCTGGAGCAGTGTCACCCAGCTGCTCCTGGTGCGGGTCCAGCAGCAGATACCGGGAGCCTGTGTTCACAATCAGCCAGGCACCCGGCCAGCCCAGCAGGACGGCGGGCGGCTAGTGCCGGCTTGGGGTGGGGAGGGAGTGGCCTTGTCAGGGTGTTCCAGATCTTTGTGGGGCAGGCCTCAGGGACAGCTCTGAGTCTGTGACCCGGAGCTTCCTCCCTGCCCACTGCTCTCCACCTGGGGGTGGGGGCTGTGTTTGCCGCAGTTCGGAAGTGCCGCCCTGCCTGCAGGGCGTCAGCGTCAGCGGGGACAGCCCGGGCCTCTCCCTATTCTCAGATGCGGAGGTGACCTGTTGCTGCACTGAATCCCGGATGACCCCTCCCCCCACCACTCCGCTTCCTCTGACAAATACAAAAACTGCACTTTTGAGATGAGTGAGGACCTCCCACACTCAGAGGGGCTCGACCTGGCGCGGCGAGGAGTTCGGGCCGTTGGGTGCAGTGGAGCCTCCAGCCTTTGCCCCACACGCCTGGGCACTCGGCAGGAAAGCCTCTCCCAGCATTTGCTGCTTCGGCCTCTGCCATCCACCAGATTGTGATTCTGGGTCAGTTCAGAGAAAGCGCTGGTCCCTCTTCCCACTCGTGGGGCGGGATGCTGCTGCCCCTCAGAGGGGGCCTGAGAACCCCCGGGCGGGTTTACGGCCCCCAGGGTGAGGACAGTGAGACTCTGGAGGGACATGGGTGGGTGCCCTCCAGCCAGTGGTTCTTCAGGGAGCCAGGCAAGGGCAGGAGTGTAGGCTGGATCAGGGCGGGCTTCTGGGAGGAGGCGTAGCAGCATCTTGGGCTGCAGGTCCTGAGGGTCCGTCCCAGGTGGATGGAATCCAGTCCTCACCAACCCCAGGACAGAATGGGCTGCGTTAGCAGAGGTCCTCCTCGTGGGCCCTCAGCCCCCCACCCCACCCTTCCCATGGGGCCCACCCATCCCTCCTGTCCCTTCCTTGGCCAGCCTCACATCCTCCCAGCACTTCCAGGCCCTGGTCCCACGCCTGTGGGTTTGCGGTGCGCCTCCCCCACTGGCATGGCCTCTTCACTGGCACTTGCCCGTTCTCTTCACTGGAGTATCACCAGCACTGAGGACAGTTGATGCCTGGCACATAGTAGGTGCTCAACAACTACTCCTCCAGTGCAAATGCACCCCCATTTTACAGATGGGAAACCAGGGCTCCCAGAGACAATCACCCAGACAGTGACAGGAGGAAGCCGGCCCAGTCACCATGGCCCGGGGCCACTGCCCTGAGATACCTACTCGCTGCTGGGCAGGAAGCCAGTCCTGCCCTCACTGCTGCGCCCTCAGACGGATGGACGAGAGGCTGTTACCCAACGCCACCTCCTTCCCCAGTTCCGTTCTCCCCTTGGGGAGATGTTGAAAGAAATCATCCGCTTTCCCTCTCGAAAGAAGGGGGAGGTGGAGGAGGGCTGGACCTTGAGAGGGGCCGGCGGAGGGGGCATCAGAGGTCGAGGATCGGAAGCTAATATTCAGCATTTCACTTGGGCGTCCTGTTGGAACAGCGGAGGAGGAGGATGGCACAGGCCGACTCCATCGCCTCGCAAGACCCAGTCGGGAGAAGGGCACACTGCCGCAGAGGGCGGGGCGCCCCACTCTGCGCAGCGGCCCCCGGGGAGCTCCCGATCACCCCCAGTCAGCCCCACCTCCTGCCGGGCGGCAGCTGAGAGCCCTCCAGGGTATTTGCTGGGGCCCTGCCAGGGAGCACGTGGCATCGGGTGACACATTCAAGGCTGAGCTGGCACCACCTCCTGAGGCCCTGGAAAGCCCACAGCCAAGGGGAGGGGACGCCGCTGGGCACAGGGGCGCTCTGGCTCAGTCAGGCAGATCAGCCCGAGGCGGACCAGGCCTGACTCCTGCGGCCGCCCCTGCTGGGGGCCAGGGTGGGGCCCTAGGTTTGGTCCTGGTTTCTCTTGGGTGGGCGGGGAGCCAGAGGGGAGGCCTGAGGCTCTCCAGCTCTGGAAGCTGCGTGCGTGACCACCCACCCACCACGTGGCATTGCCGGTGGGGCAGGGGTGCCCAGCCTTTGAAGTCCGTGTCTGCTTCGGTCCCCAGTTTCCCCAGCAGCACCTGAGCCTCCCAGATGAGAGGGGCGCCTGTCCCCAGGGCTGCTCCAGGGCCCCTCCAACTGGGCCTCTCACACCCCAGCACACGGGCTGCGACCCCTTCAGACCTGCCTGGGAGAAAGCAAGACCCGGACCGGAGCCGGGGATGGGAGGGTCTCGGCAGCCCAACGAGATCAGGTCGGGGCCAGGAGAGGACAGTTATGCTGCTGGCCGGGAGCTGGCCTCCTGGGGAGGAGGCTGATGGGAGCCAGGCTTGGAGGCTGGGGTGGGGGTCAGCTGGGAGAGCGGGGCCCAGGGTTGCGCAGACCTCTGGGCGGGGGTGCCACCAGGAGCGGGTGCTGTCCTGCCACCTGTAAATAAAGCAGCCTGTGAATCTTTCATAGGCTTGTGCTTAAAAATAGATGAGGTGAGGCCTCTGGGCCCAATTCCTGGGGCCCAGCTCAGGGCTGGGGCTGCAGACTCCCCAGGGAGGCCGGGAGGACAGTGAGGGCCACGGGGCGGGCCAGGGACTTGAGGCCTGGGCCCTGGGGCCAATGGGAGACCACCCACTGGATGTGCCGTCCAGCTGGCCGGGTCACAGGCCGGGAAGAGGGACTCCAAGGCAGGGCGCACAGGGCAGAGGCCCAGGGAGGCCCCGCTCGCCATCCCGCCCCTGACAGTGGCCAGTCCCCTGGTCTCTTGTGGGTCCTTAGGGAGGCCCTTGCCCAGCGCCCCACTACTAGACAGGTACAGAGGGCTGAGGACTGTGAGAAGAAATTCCCAAGGCAAGACGAAGGGGAGACAAGGTCAGGTGAGGGCCTTAGAGTCCCGGGCCAGACCCCGGTGGCCCTGCCCCAGCCCTTCTGGTGATCTCCAGCCGGCCCTTCCTCTCTGGGCCTCGGTTTCCTTCTCTGCGCCGAGGGACAATGACAGGCTGTTGGGGGCCCCGGGAGATTAAACGGGACAGGCTGCGTGTGACAGGGCAGCCCTACGCAGCTCTGCCTGCCCTCTGGCCACCTCACCCATGGTCCAGTTGGCGGCCAGACCCAGTCAGCTGCCCCAGAGCCGTCGTGGCGGGGGGCGGGGGGGGGTAGCGTCGCTCCCAGCCAAGTGGAAGGAAGGGACACAGGGAAGCCAGGCCCTCCCCGTGGGGACGTGGGACTTCACGCTGCCTCTGCAGCTGCAGAACCACACTCCTGGGGCGACCGGGTGGGCTTCCAGGGGTGGTCTTCCTCCTCCAGGCCAGGTGGGGATGGAAGAAGCGTCCAAACCGAGAATTTTTATCAGTGTCAAACCACCAAGGACACCTGCTGGGAGGCAGGTGCAGCAGAGAATACATGTTCGGCAGCTTTTATTTACCGAGGGGACGTGAGGCAGAGCTGTGGAGACGGGGCCCGGTGACTGGAGAGTTAACACAATTACAAGCTGGGCAGAGGGCCGGTGCCCCTGCCGGGGACTCGGGCCCCTCAAAGGCACATTAACCTCGATGCACAGGAGCGATGGCCAGGCCCGGCCACACCAGGCGAGTTATGGGCCTGGGCGTGGCCGCCTCTGTGACCTGCTGGGTGAGGAATTTATGATCGCATCGTCCTGCGAGGTGCTTTTTCTCAGAGCCTCTGTTTTTGTCCACAACCTGCCTGGTACCAAGGGAAGTCCTGCAGGGGCTCAGGGTCCACGCGTGGTGGGAGCGGCAGCACGGGGGTGGGAGGGAGGGAGAGCCCGGGTGCCGGGAACCCGGACGGCTGCCTTCCTGGGCGGCGCTCTGGCCTCTGCTCTCACCACGCCCATCACCACTCAGCGCCCTGGACTACGGAGATGGAAGTCGCAGGGTGTGGGGCAGAGGTCGAAGGCCCCTCCTGCGTCTGCCTGCTGTCAGAGTTCCCCTGAGTCAGAGCGTAGGGCAGGTGTGGCCGCCCCGGACCGGTCCAGACTAATTAGTCCCCGCACTAATGAGCTTGGAACGCACACTGCCGCCGCACCCAGACTCCGGCCTGCGCTGTCCCCAAGGAGGGGACAGATTGGCTTCCGGTCTGGCCAATGTGACTCCAGGACACAGGGTAAGATCTGAATGTGCCATAAATAAGGACACTCTTTTCACATAAGTATGTGCCCCGTAATATTTGGGACATACTTGTTCTGAAACACGTTACTTGTTGTTCATCGGACATTTAACTCTAACAGGTATTTTGTTTTTCTGGCGAGCCTCTCCCAGACTAGGGCCAGAGCCCGGCGGCCTGGGACTCCGCCTTCTGGCCCTGCTGTGCAGCCTGGCAGGCCCGCCACCGGCTGGGCAGGCGCTCGAGGGGTGGCACTGCCCTCTAGTGGACAGACCCCAGAAAGGTGGAAGCAGCCTGGTGGCGGCAGAAACCCAGAAGGCCCCAGGCTGCCTGACGCCTCCTCTGCACACTCAGGGGAGGAAGGGGACCAACCACGTGACCATCACCAGAGCCTCTCGCCCACCCAGGGCCAGCTGCCCACAGTGAGCTCAAGGGTCCCCTGCCCAGGCCAAAGAAGTGGCCAAGCGCTGGAGGCCTCCCAGGGTTGGCCTGGACCAGGGTGCAAAGCTGACTCCAGTGTTGGAAGCTGTGCAAAATTTGGGGGCGGGGGTGGGCGGGGGCGCTTCAAGAGGCGTTTTCCTCTTTCTCGCCCTCTGCCCCCATTTGAGCTTCGTTTCCTTCCTCGGAGCTGGCCGGTACGGGGCAGTCGGTCCCCCGGCAAGGCAGAGCCCCAACGGTGTCCTTCGTTGTGCCCTCTACGCAGGCGGAGCAGGGTCACAGGGAACCACTCTCCGCCGCTGGGCCCCGAGGCTGCCGTGCCGTCAGCTCCTGGACCCTGAGTCTCTTCTCAGGGCACCTCCAGGGCGGGAGCTCGGCCTGGCCCAGGGACTGACCAGAGAAGCCTGGCAGCTGCCCAGCGACTGGCCCAGTGAGACTGCAGGCTGCAGGGCCCCCAAGGGGTGACAGGCCCGCACGCTGTGCCCCTCTGGGGAGACACTGTCTTGGGAGAGCAGGGGCACCAGCAGCCTCTGGGCGGACTCCCTCCCCGGCCCCCAGCTCACCCCACGGGCACTGCCAACCGCCGGGCCGGCTTCCCTTCCCGGTGGCCCTTAGAGGGACATCCACAGCGAGGCTGAGATGCCCACGTCAGGAGTTCGCCCATCTCTCTGTGGCTCAGACACTGGAGCAAGCGAGCTGGCGGTCCTCAGCAGGGGCGGGGTGGCATCTCCTGCCCCTCACCTGCACCCACGCTTTGTGTGCCCACACGGGTGCCCAGCCCCCCCGGGTGCCTGGCCACCGCCCACCCCCTAGGGGGTTCGGGGACATAAACCACAGCAGGAGGCGCTGAGGTAGAGCCAGTTCCAGCACCCTCATGTGACACAGAATGTTGGGGTGCTTTTCCTAATGGCGTCACAGGGACTCCAAAGTACAGGACTGGCCTCCATGCTCCACAGGCCTCAGGCCCATGTCACAGTGACGGGCTGGGTTCAGACCTGGCCCTCTGACTGCAGGGCTATGCCTGGAACCGTGACTGACGCCACACCCTTCCCTGTGGGTGCCCACCCCCTGGCTGGCCCTGCAGGAGCTTCTCCGGGGATGACGAGGTCGCAGTCTCGAAGCAAGCCCCCAGGAAGCGGAGGGGACCAGGGACTCAGCAGCGTTGAGAGCCACAGGGCCAGTGGCCTCACCCTCTAGCTGTCCCTGCACCTGGGCCATTCGGGATGAGCACAGGGGTAACAGGTTTGTCAGCAGGGCAGGCCCGAGCCCTGTGGTGTGCTCATATGTGAGCGTGTGAACTGGCCGCACGTGCACACCTGTGTGTTTGCCCCCCAGCCTGCTCTGGGGCCGCAGGGGGCTCTGCTGGGGGGTGGGGGCCCTGGTCCAGTGGGGACGTCCAGCATTAAGGGGCTAGCGGGCCAGGGGGGGGCTTCTGTGACAGGGGCATTTGAGCTGGGGCCCACCCAGAGGGGGCGCTGTGGATGGGAGGCAGGGCAGGGGCATTCCCAAGGCTCTGAAGCAGAAAAGAGCAGGTGCATCAGGGGACTGAAAGAACGGGCTGGGTGTCATGTCCCCAAGGCCATGCCACCGGAATGGAGGGAAGCAGGCAGGGGGGCTCATTGTCTGCCCCTCATGGGTGGTGTGGCTGCAGGGGCCCCCTCAGTGTCCCCAAAGCCCCCAGCCCCAGGGGTGGCCATGTCTCTTCCTCAGCTACCCCCAGGGCTGGGCTCTGTGGGGTGTGTCACCACGGACAGCAGCCCCTTGAAAGCCTTTGACTGAGGAACCGTCACTTGCGGAAAACTGTCCTAAGTTAATAATTAAGAAATAGGACACAGATGGAGCCAGAAGGCCACTCGCCCAGCCTTGTTTAGGGACTGGAAGGCTTGCAACACCCTTAGTGGCTCCGAGAGGAGGCTGGTTACATAAACCAGGGTCCATCCAGGCCACACAGTGTCGTGGGGGCTTGCCCTGGGGCTCCAGGCTGGGACCCTTCTAAGGGGGCAGTGTGCTCTCCAGGCCTGGGGGGTGCCTGAGACCCACAGAGATGCCGCCGCCCAGCCAGGAAGCCCGCCCAGGGAGTCAGAGGTGTCAGGGGAAAACAAGTCTTTCTGAGGCCAGAGCAAAGCTCGTTTTTATTGTGACGGCGCAGTGATCTCTCCTACAGGTCCTCAAAGCAAGAAGCTCGGAGCTTGTGGGCGCCCAGGAGCCCGGCTGAGGACTCCAGTTCCACTGAGAAGAACGGATCCCAGAAGAGGGAGCCCACTTACACAGACGACACACGATCATGCCTGTGCACTGGACTGTGTGGGACTGCATGTTTGTGAATCGTAAAAACACTAAAATCCGGAAGGCACACCATGCGGATGCTACGGAGGCAGCCTCCGTTGGGTGTCGGGGTTGCAGGAGGTGCTGATTTACTCGTGCTCACCTGTGTCTTTTCTGACTGAGGTGAAGTTCACAGAACATGAAACTAACCATTTTAAATGGTCCAGGTCAGTGACCTTGAGCTCACACACAAGGTTGTGCAACCAGTCCCTCTGTCTAGCTCCAGACCACTTTCATCACCCAAAACACGCAATCACCTGCAGCCCCGCCCCCAGCCCCTGGCAACCTCCGGTCTGAGCTCTGTCTGTATAGAGTTGCCCACTCTGACACCTCACACACGTGGACACCGGCCGCCCGTGGCTGGCGCCTGTCACTGGAAATGCTGGCGAGGTTCAGCCGTGTCCAGCGTCAGATGGCCGTTCCTTTTTACGGTGGAGTGACATTCCATTGTAGGGACGGACCACCCCGTGGTGTCACTCTGTTCATGCAAAGACTCGTCCACTCCCTCGACCATTCTTCATGGGGGGCTCTTTACCTGGGTTTCAGAGGACAGGAAAGACCTCTGTCTGGGGGACACAAAATCCTGAGGCCCCAGGCCCGCCAGTCCCAGCCATTTCCCTGAACTCAGCCCCTCCACCTTTCCTCCCCACCCTCTCCAAGGCTTCAACCTGCTGGAAGCGGCAGACTCTGAGAGATGGGGCAGGGCTGCGGGAAAGCCCGGGGGGGGGGCGGTGGGCTGCAGGTACACAGCAGGATGCTGCCTGTTGCTCTCCTTCCGGCTTTTGCAGCCCATGCGCTGAGCACCTGCAGGTACCAGCATTCAGGGTGCAGAGTGCAGGCTCCGTGGCGTGACCCCTCACCTGTCGCTTCTGTAGCAACCCCCTGCCTGGAACTGCGTTCCACCCCACCCCCCTGCCCCCCAACATCATTGTCCCTGGGCCTGGCCTGGGCCTGCAGTCATCCCCACGACACACGAGTTCCCCATTCTCCATACCTCCCTGCATACCTGTCCGAAGGGAACTGTGTGACCTCTGACCTCAGCTTGAAGGTCATCAGTGTTCTGAGGTAGTGAGATAGGCTACGTCTGGAAGAGCAATATGCCCAGGGGATCGAATCTTCATTTCTCTGTTTTTTTTCCTGTGACATACTTTAGACACGTGGCTACTCAGAAAAGACCACATTTCCCAGCATTCTTTGCAGCAAATAAGGTCATGTGACTAAGTCCTGACCAATGGGATGTGAGCATACAAGCTGTATATTTCCAGGTCCTGTCTTTAAAGAGAAAGTCCCGGCTCTTCACTTCCCCTTTGTTCTTCCTCCTTGCTGGAAGGTGGAGGTGATGGCTGGAGCACAGCAGCTGCTTTGGGCTGCAAGCAGCTATCTTGAGGACACCAGTGCAACAAAGCAGGTAGCAACAAAGCACGTAGTCCCTGACAACGTGGGGTTTCTGCATCAGCCCTCAGAGGCTCACACCCACAGAGTGCTGTGTGGAAGATAAACACACTTCTCTCCCGGTTAAACCCCTTTTAGGTCCGGGCCCCTTGATGAAACCTGTTATATTTCCATGGGCACCTGGGCCGTTTCCAATGATGCAGCTGTCTGGTCTAAGCAGTGGGTTGGACAGTGTCCACCCCAGTTCAAGTCCGCCCAGAACCTCAGACTGTGTGTAAGAAGACAGTGCACGAAGACAGTGCTGGCCCCCAGCTCCAGGCAAATGGACTCCACCAGATGCTGCCCTCCTCTCAGGGCCGTGGGCCGTGCCTCACCGCCTCACCGTGGTGCCGACTTTCTGAGCCAGCCAGCCGACTCCAGCCACACATTCGTGGCCCCTGAAGCTAAGCAGTGTCCGAGTTTCAGCTTCATCGGCAGTCTGACAATGGTGCTTCTTCTACTGGGAGTGCTGCCGAGAGCGGGCTGGCGGGCAGGGGGCAGAGGCCCTGTCTTTCTAGCTGTCTGCCCACAGACCCCAGCGGCACTGGCGTGGCCTTCTCCCAGTCCGCAGAGAAGGTGTCCCACCACCCTCGTCCCCACTCTGGGCCCACTCACCGCAGCGGGGCAGCCCGGGCCCTGAGTGTCTGTCCCAGAGAGGTGGGGGGGGGCGGGGTATCCAGGTCTTTTTGTCCATTCAAGATTCTGCCCTGACCCTCCTGATAAGATGCCTCTGTTCTCCCCTGTGGGGGCCCTTTGGGGACCCGGGGGACACCAACTGAATTCTGGGCCACCACCTGGGGACCCACATGGCCCTGGATCTGAGTGAGGATAAGGACGACTATGCTGAGCACGCTGAGTGCCCGAGGGCACTAAGCGACTCAATGTGTGGTGGCTGGGCCTGCTAAGAAAATATTTTCGGCCCCGGGCTTAGGCACCGATTTCTTAGATATGACACATGAAACGCACCAACTGTAAGAGGGAAAAAATGAGTAAACTGGACTGCAACGTTGTTAGGAAAACTGAGACCACCCACAGAGCGGAGAAGGGGGGAGAGTGATCGCTGCAGACCACCTGCTGGGGCCATGTCCGGCTATTCTGAAGGCACTAAGAACTCTCACAACCCCTAACAAGGGAGCAACACAAAACACGCACAGGAAATTGAATGGACACTTTGCCGAAGAAGGTATACGGATTGCAACTGAGCACATGAAAAATTGTTCAGCATCGTGGGTCAATAGGAAAACGCACGTGACAGGCCACGAAGAGACCGCGCACACCCTGGGGACCGGCTAGAACTCAGGAATGACAGTGGACAGCGCGGCCGGGCGGCCAGCCTTCCGCAGCCTACGGCGGGGACGAAATCTCAAAATCCCCGCAGCTCTGCACCGGCGCCAGAACGCCAAGGTTCACGCAGCTCTGTTCCCCATCCAGAATCAACTCGACCGTCCTCCGGCGGTGAGGGGCTGAAGAAACCCAGCGTCCGTGCCCGAGGCGGGGGAGAGGGGCCCACTTTCCAGGGCGCCCGGCCCAGGGGCCAGGGCCCGCAGCCAAAGCCGTCCCGGCTCGCTCCACTTAAGTGCCCGGGAGGCGACCGCAGAGCTCGCGGGCTGCGTGTCCGCGGCGTGGGTGGGGGAAGGGACGGATCCGCATCCGGAAGTGCCCGTGCAGGCCCGGCTGGGCTAGTAAACAGTGCCGAGCAGCACCGCAGAAAAGGTGCATCCCACTGGAGTCCTTTAAAAAATGGAAGGATCGGGCAGACGCTGCCAGGCCGTCCGTCGCCCCTCCAGGCCGGGTGGTGGGAGTCCGCCACGTCCCCAGACTTCTCCCCGACACGTCCCCGTCCCCGTCCCCCCGGCCTCAGTGCCCCCGGCCCCCAGCCCAGTGGTCCTCTGCAGGCCGCCAGACTCGTTCTCCTGCCCCTTCTCTGACCTGCGCCGCGATGGCCTCACGTGTGATAGCCCCGCCGCCGCCGCTCCAGGAAGCGGGGCCGGGTCCTGGGGGCCCTCCCGGTTCTCAGTGGGACTGGGGGCGCGCTGGGGTGGACGAGGAGGGGTGGGGTGGGGCGGGGCCGCGGGCGCCTCCATCCCCACGCGCCTGTACTGCAGCGCCCCTCTGTGCCCCCGCCGTAATTTCCGCCTCTTCACCCCCGCACCCCCTCCCTGCGCGCCCCCACCTCAGTCTTCCTCTCCTCCTCCCCTCTCCAGCGCGTCCCCTCCCCGCCTTCTCCCTCGCGCGCCCCCGAAGTGCCCCCTCCCTCCGGCCGCTGGCGGAGGCGCGCGCCCTCGCGGGGACGCGGGGGGTGGCGGGAGCGCGGCCGTTGCGGGCCGGCCCGCGGGGCTGAGGGCGAGCGGAGCCCGGCCCGCGCAGCCCGGCGCCCACCATGCGGCGGCTGCGGCGCCTGGCGCACCTGGTGCTCTTCTGCCCATTCTCCAAGGGCCTGCAGGTAGGCGCGCGGCGGCCCCGTGCCCACCCCGCGCGTCCTCCCTGCTCGGGCGGCGGCCGAGCCCTGGGAGGGGGCTGGGGGGTTGGGGGGCCGGGGGGCCGGGACGGATTCGGGACGCAGGGTGCGTGGGCGCGGGGCAGCTGGGAGGCTGGTGTGAGCAGTGTTGCTGGGGCAAGCGGAGGGGCCTGGTGGTGCCCGTGCTGCGCCGCAGCTCCCAGTGCTGAAGAAGGCCCCACCCCCTCTTGGACTGGACCTTGCTCCCCGGGGCCTAGAAACCCACCAAAAAGCCCGTCTTTCCTCTACTTAAAGATAAGGTTGGTTTTTCTGTTGTGGAAAACTTGGGGCACAGAAATACCCCAAGGACATACATAACGTCCCTCTGGGTCATCCCCCCTGACAGCCAGTGTCCCCTGACCCCACTTTGACCTTGCATGAGACACGTTTTTACCAGGGTCCTCCTCTGCAGGGGAGGCCCAGGCTGCCTTGGGTGCCAGCTGCAGGGTGGGACCTGTCACCTCTGGCTTGGGTGACAAGCCAGGCCCTATCAGAGTCTGAAAGCATTCCGACCCCATTGCCCCGCACTCGGTGACTGTGATGCCCACAGCCCGGGCCTGACCAGAGCTTTTCTGGGGCTGGAGGGGAGGGGGGGGCGTTAGGTTCCTTCAGGGTGGCAGCTGGGGACTCTGCGGGCTCCACCTCGTGCTGGATGCCCTCACTGCCTGCTCCCGGCCTCAGGGTGGGTGGTGCTCACCCAGCCTTGGGCAGGTGGGGAGCTGAAGGGCCCGAGGTGCCCCCTCCACGGGGGAGGTGGAGTATGCCCTGGCCCCCAGTGCTGCTGGAAGACCTTGAGCCTTGCAGGGCAGCCAGGAACGGCTGCAGGGCTGGAGAGGAGCTCCAGGGGGTTCCCGTGGTCTGAACCCTGCCCCCGCAGAGTGGCGAGTTTCCCCACCCGTGCATGTGGGAGCCAGCCTGCAGGCCACAGGTCCTTGTGCTGGTACTGCCCCCTGAGCCGCCCTCCCCACTCCCACTAGCGGCCCTTCCCCAGGAGGAAGGCCTGCCCTGTGCCAGTGGCTTTCCGGGGCTGCTCCTGGAGGACGTGTCCACCAAGACGAGGACCTGGGGTCAGCAGACTTAGTCAGCTGGCCTCAGTGTACCCGAAGGGCCAGCAGGCAGAGGCCTGAACTGGTGGGGTTGGGGGAACCTTCTGTGTCTGGGGCC